TCGTCGTGTGTGCTATCATGCTACATATCACCTTATAAACAGTCTTAACGCGGCACCAGCTTCCCCATGAATTCCTCGACAGGAACCTCGGCCAGCTGTGGCGCCATCTCTCTCGCTAAGTCCACTAGACGCGCCTTTCTATCCTGCTTCTCTACAAATGCGCGTGTACTCTAGCTCGACGGCTTTGCACTGCGTGGCGTCGACTCTTAGATAATAAATCGGCCGATTGTCGAGGCGGAGTGGTGGGCGCAGGCGCGGGTGTGGCCTCCTGAGGTGGCGGCTCGGCAACTGTATCTCCAGTTTGGTCAGGAATTGTGGATATGCCAGAGATAGAATATCGAAGAGGGTGGTAGATGGTGATACGCACTTTGCAGCCCGCTACTAGTACGGTTTCGAGCCAGCCACGCGATAGCTACCAGTCTGAGGGAAGACCAGATGCAGATTTTTCCCCACGAAGAGTCAACACCTCCGGGTTTGGGGCGAGGCTTGTGCGAGCGGCGGCCTCGGCGACAACTCGAACAACGGCCACACTCCGCCCGAGTTCCAACTTCAGCCACAGCGATCGTCGATCGCGGAGTGGCGGCACCGGGAAATGCCAGCAGTCACGCACTCGTGACGACTCTCAATGACAGTGAGACTCAGAGTGTGACAAGCCACAAACTTAGATCCAGCAGCGGCAGACGCGTCACAGTGTTTTCTTTCTCGAAGTTCAACTTCTTCCGGACTACTCAACTTCGAAAGTAGGTGCAAACTCATATCTTCTACCACAGTTGAATTTTGCAGCCCTGCTCAACCACATACTTGCTGTTGGCATCACAATCCAATATCCAAATTAACCTTGCCGTATACAATGCGCCTTTCCATGTCTAAACCAACGTAGGGATCGTTGCTTGCTACCAGAACTTTCTCTGATTAAATATTAGCAATAGAAATACAAAGATGAAAAAAATAGGCCACATTGCGTCCTCTGCTTTGCGGGCATGCTGGGCGACACACGCTTAGCGCGGCAGAAGATTGAAGATGAAATTACTGGTCATTTTCGGGCCATTGTCAGACTTCGATCGCAACTGAACACCCTCGTTCCCATGGCCGCTTATTCCCCGAACTCTTGACCGTCATATTTATGCACTGCGTCTTTGATTCCACGTACGGGGCCGCTGAATGACTATGCATCGCGCAGGTTTGCTCTCATTGGCGCAAAGTAGCGCTCTCGTTTCCCAGGCTATAGTTCCATGTACAAGTCCCAGATTTTTGTGTGCAAATCCATGAGACTCTAACATGTTCTAGGAATGCGCCCTTGTCCGTTGAGATCTACGACAGACCTGCACCCCCAAAGCCACCTCACAAACACACATTCAGTATACTGGCGGAGAATCTCTTCCGGATTCGGCATTTCAGTATTTCAGCCCCTCCTGAGGTCGTGAGCAGTTTGTGGTCAGGGCCCGACCGCCCTAGCTTGGCCCCTTTGCTAGAAACATTGACGCTAACCAGTTACCGGGGTGTCAGGGAGGAAATGAAGACGTCCATACTATCACCGAAAGGCCTTGCTCCGCGTCTCCGTGAGTTAGATGCCCATAATTTACCCACTAGTTGGGAGGGAATATTCTTCCTTACCTCCCTTCAACATCTTGTCATTACCGATAATCAACTCAAGATCACCGTGACGAAGCTTTTTAGCGAGTTAGAACAAATCCTTACATTGACAAGCCTCACGCTGCAAAACGTCTCGAAATCCCCCCCCCCCTTTGGCAGGCGGCCGGGTATACCCATTCCCGCACTTGCGGTTTCTTGATATCGAGGGGTCTGCAATGGAGTGCGTCGACGCCCTTAATCATCTTGGCCTTTCACCCAACGTCAGACTAGAAGTTATTCATGATAATCTCGATATAGAGCTGTTGTTTCAAGCCTTCATTTCTAAGGTTTCCCGTCCTGATAGGACTCCAATCCGAAGCCTGTATGTTTTTGGAGGCATAGGTGATGACGTGTGGATACAAGCCTATGAAGATGATCGTCAGGCAATCTTTGCGGCTTTGTTGGACAAGGATACGGGGGGTTTTCCCGAGTCCGGAAGTGCACAATTTGATGAGGTATCGTGGAGGATTATGATTCCGTCTGGGCACAAATTTACTCGGAGCACGGTTGCTCTTTTACACAAGACACTGCCACTTGTGGAAGTGAGCCTCTTGTTCGTCACAGGAGACGACCTATCATGTGCCGATGAATGGACAGATGCATTTGGAGCGATGAAGAAGCTCTCTGTGCTTTGGACCCACGGCGGGATATGGGATGGAATACTGAAGACTCAGTCATTGCGATGACGAACCTGAAGCTACAGAGGACACGCCTTCGTACTTATTCCCCCGGCTGCGTGTGCTCAAAATAGAAGCGACCAAGTTTGACGCTGAAGCACAATACAACGTCGCCATGGCTCTCCACCAATGTCTGGCAGAACGCTCGAAAAACCATGCGCAAATTCCTGAAATTGTCCTCAGAAGATGTGCCAATTTGAAAGCTTCGGGCGTAGAGGAATTTAGACCTCACGTAGGCTCGCTGTCTTGGGATAACTGGGTGAGTCCCACGAATAATACCTCGTCCGACTGGGATTAATTGTATGAATGTATGTGGCAGAAGTCTCATGGTGGACGCAATCGGTAGTGTGTAAACTGAGGAGAGCGCATGTGTATATACGCGACATCGAACCACTGAGGGAAGCGACAAAGTCTCGACGGGAGGGCAAGGTACGAGGGGTTTCGGGAAGAATGCGAAGCGATGCCTAGCGACACTTGTTCTCCGTCGCGTTATAAAGTCGGGCTCGTGTGGTTCGTGACGAAGATCCAGTCGTCTGTAAATTTCCCGCCGATGAATGGTACTCTGTGGAACGCACCGCACATAATAAGGCATGATGGTAGATCCAGAAGGACTTTGCCGTTAGTGAACCACGACCATAGGCACAAAACGAATCCGTGAAATGGCTAATGCGCACACTCGTAGAATCATGCATTTTCCATCTCTCTCAGCACTAGCTCCACGAGACGTGCATTTCGACCTTGTCTCTCTCCAAATGCGTGCGTGCTTTGGCTCGAGGGGGCTTGGCACTGCGTGGCGTTGACTCTGGTTTGTTCGACCCTGTCGACGACGAATCAGATGCGTGTCGAGGCAATGGTAGACGCGGGAGCAAGTGCAAATGCGGCGTCTTGTGGCCGCAGTATTCTTCGCGGCTGTAGCAGTTGTGGCTGAGTCGGCAGGAGCCTCACCACGAATTACTACAATAAAAGAATCATATTTTTTCCTTTAGTGGGAAATGACCCATTTGTATGGCAGGCGAATCTTCCCTGTACAATCCAGTAGAAAGCTTAATAGATGCACTTTTTACAGCTTTGGAAAGGTTAAAGGTGACTTTCAGCTAGGAAAAAAGGTGAGACTCCCGCGTGTGTTACTTGCAGTGTAAGTTCGCCCGGACTGTCCATCATGCGGACGTTCTGAGCGACACACGCTCGGCATGTCAGAGAACTGCAGATGTCGTTACTGGCCATTCAATTGCGAAGCATTTGAAGCTACGCGAGTCTGACGCGACTGAGTTTCGAGTGTCTTATTGATATGGCTCGATAGGTCGTTTGTGATCGTCGCGTGCCCTTGGGCTCTTGACTACGCGCACTACATATGGTACGGCATCAACCTACTCACCCTCTTCCGCACCCTCGTCAACCACAGGCAACGAGCCCGTGTGAGGGGTACCCCCGCACACACCAGACGACTCCTCTCGCGTATCCGCTCCCTTAGCCTTCTTCGCCTGTTGCGATGTGAGCGGCTCCGGGGTCTCTAGACTACGCTTCTGTCCCGCAGATGTCGAAACAGCCCAAAGCATCTCGAATTGGTCAGTGCCCTTGTCTCCGGATGAGCCATACTCAAGCATCCGTGTGAAGATCTTGAAAATTGCCTCATGATTAGCC